ATGTCAATTAGGTTGGGTGACAGAGTCGTCCAAATCTGCCCTTACCGAATTTTCTGTCTACTTGTTTCCTCACTTATTGAAAGTATTACAATCCGAGCCACAGCCTGGAAACTCCCAGGGAAGTCAGCTGGGGTCGCTGTAGGGCTCCCCTCACTCCCTTGGTTCCTGGTCTGTCCTTTGTTTTTCTCAGATGGGAGGGTGACCCTGATTCCTGTTACTCCATCTTGACAAGAACAACTGTATTCTTACCTTTTTTTACTTAAAAAATTTTTTTTATTTTTTTATATTTTATTTTATTTTATTTTAAACCAGAACATTTCTTGTGTGGCTCGTCACTGCAATCCTTCAGATGGACTGGAGGCTGCAACAGAGGTCCTCCTGGGCTGAGGTGTTGTTCCTTCACGGAATCCAGGCCTGAATCTGTGGTAAACCATTGTTAGGTGCCTCATCCGCCAGGTCCCAGTGGTATTTCGTCTCGTTACCTTGGCACCCCAGTTATACCTTCTCTTCTGCTTGGCAGGCTAGCCACACTTTGCCGCAGGTCGACTTCTGAAGGTGGTAGGCCTGAGAGACACAGCGGCGGGCAGCTTGACATGGGCATCTTACTGCGACGCTTTCCAAATGATGACGTCCCCTTGGTCGTCTCGCTAAAAAGTAATGTTAGATTTGTAGAAGAGTCGCAGAGACAGTAGAGAGAATTTGTATATACTCTTCAGCCGTGTCTGCTCACTGTCCTCCAATCAGTGACAGTTTCCTGGTCTTTCTTTGTCTTTTGTGACGTTGGCACTTCTGAAGAGGCTGCTCAGGTATTTTGGGGCGTGTCTTCACTTCAGCTTTCCCAAGGTCAGGCTGCTCTACATGGTACCACAAACTACGTGGCTTAAAACAACAAAAATGTATTGTGTCACAGCTTAGGAGGCTGGAAGTCTGAAATCAAGGAGTTGGCAAGGCCACCCTCCCTCTGAAATCATAAGGGAAGAAGACTTTCTTGCTTCTTCTAGCTTCTGGTTACAGGCAACCGCTGGCAATCCCGGGCTTATAGCCACATCACTCCAGACTCTGCCTCTGTCTTCATGTGGCATCTGCCCTCTGTGTGTCTGGCATGTCCAAATCTCCCTTTCCCTTTCTTACTAGGGCCAGTTATTGGATTAGGGCCCATCTTAATCCAATGAGAACTCATCTTAACTTTATTATATATGCAAAGACCCTATTTCCAAATAAAGTCACATTCACAGACTCCAGGTGGACATGAACTTTGGCGAAACAATATTGAACCCAGTACACATCCCCCCTAGCCAAGTATGACAGGGAAACAGCCCCCTTTAACGTTCTTTAAGGATTCACACGACAATTGGCCTTGGTGGGAATTAACTTTGGTTATTGGATTCTGCTTCTCTGAAAAGAGACACTCTGTGGGGACGGGGCTTTGTGGGGGCCTGGGATTTATTGGGGTTACAGACCAGGGTTGGCTTCCTCCATGGCAGCTGGGAAGGAAGGCTAATGCGACACGGATATTCTGGGGGTGGAGGCCTACCTCCACTTCCGGGGCCATTTTGTCAGTGTGAAATTCCATCCCTGGTCCTGCCCAGCTGTGGGCACTAACTCCGAGTGTCCGGGTCGGAGGTCACACAGGGCCACTCGTGAGTTGAAGTTGTCCCTGGGAATGTTTCTTCTTGCTCAGTGCTTAGTCAAGTTTTGAAATAGATACAAATGTTTAAAAAATGGATACATCTCATATACAAATTTGGATTCTAACTTCTCTGGAAAAAAAAAATCTGTTCACACTGTACTCACATTTCCACAGGGCAACAAACATTCCTAAATAGGTTTATGGGCATTTGATATTGTCTCCCCAGGTCTGTGCCTTCAAACCAAGGGGCAATGCAATACCGTGGCGCAGGCTGTGGACTCAGGAGTTCGACTGCCTGCATTTGAACCCCAGCTCCACCCCTTGCTGCCTGTGCATCCTTGGGCAAGCTACTCAGTGTTCCCAAGCCTCACTGTCCTTATCTAGAAAACTACGATTGATTTATTCAACACATTTTTATCGAGCATCTACTCTGTCCCAGGCATTTTCTACTTGGGATATGTCAGTAAACAAAGGGAGCAAAAATTCTCATTCTTGCAGAGATCATACTGCGGCAGGGGTAGACAGATAACAAACACTAATATAACAAATATGTAAGTTATGTAGTATACTGAAAGGTGATAAATGCTATAGGAAAGCAAAAACCAAACTTCAAAGTGCACAGGGAATGGGTAGAGGGTTGTCGCATTTTAAAACAGGCTGCTCAGGGAAGGCCTTGCTGAAAGGGGGGCATTTGTGCAGACTTGAACGGAGTGAGGGGGGTGGCCAGGTAGTGAGCCAGGGAAAGTGTACCAGCAGAGGAAAGAGCTCTGCAAAGGCCCAATGCAAGAGCTGGCCTTGATGTTGGAGGAAAAACCAGGAGGCCGGTCTGGTGGAAGAGGAGATGGGAAGGGAGACAGTTGAGGTCACAGGGGTAGAGAGGAGAAGGGAGGGTCAGTAAATCACGTAAGGCCTTACAGCCACCGAGGATTTTGGTTTTACTGTGTGAGGTGGGAGCCATGGGACGTTCCGAACAGAGAAGGGCATGGCCTAACCTTGGTTATACCTGGATCTGCCTGGGTCTGCAAAGATTAGACTCATAGAGGGTGTGGGGGGAGCACAGAAGGGGAAAGCCAGGAGACCAGGGAGAGGCAATGGCGGCTCAGGCCAGGGAGAAGCTGTGAGGACAGAGAGAAGTGGCTGGGTCAGGCTGTATTTGCGAGGCTGGCTAGCCGCTGGGTGGGATTCAGAGCGTGAGGGAACACAGGAGCCAAGGGTCACTCCAAGGGTCTGGCTAGAGCCAGCACAGAGCTGGAACTGCCACCCTCTAAGGGGCTGGTGGTGCAGCAGGGGCAGGTCTGGAGCGGGGGGTTGCCAGGAACAGTTTGGGATAGTTGAGCCGGGACTCAACAGGTAGGTGAACATGGTTGGAAATACAAACCTGCCTTCTGGGAGCCAAATTTGGGAATAAGAGTCCCTACCTCCTAGATTGTTGTGAGGGTAAGTGAACGAATGTGTGTCTGTAAGGCACTGAGAACAGCACCTGGCCTCTGGTAAGTGCTCATAGGAGTTAGCTGCTCGAGTTGCCCTGGAAAAGATCCCAGCTTTGGCTCCAGTTCCCTCTGCCAGAGCTCCAGGCTTCATGGGCTTCATGTCCTCTCAGGGAGGGGGGCAGTAGGTTGTCAAGACGGTAGAGAAATTTCCTTCCCAACAAGTTAGCATTTTTTTTTTTTAATTTTTTTTCAAAGATTTTATTTATTTATTCGACAGAGAGAGAGAACACAGGCAGAGGGAGCAGTAGAAGGAGAGAGGCAAGCAGACCCCTCACTGAGCAAGGAGCCCAATTCGGGGCTCCATCCCAGGAGGCTGGGATCATGACCTCAGCCTAAGGCAGAGAGGAAACCGACAGTCACCCAGGCGCCCCCCCAACAAGTTAGCATTTAAATCCACCCCATTTCTCTGACCACTAGTTAACTCATCTGTAAAATGAAGATTATAGTCCCCTTTCTCAAAGAGTTACGGTGAGGAGCTAATGAGATATAGTGGATTTAAGTGCCCAGCACATGGTAGGAGCTCCTAACAGTCTTTTTTCCTCTCTACCTATGCCCCATGGTCACGGAGAAAAGAAGAAAAGTCGGTATCCGTCCCAGCTGTTTATTGAAAGAGAAGGTAAGATGGAAGGGGTGCCGGATGGGGAAGGGGCGTGGGGAGAAAGGGCAGCAGTGCCTGCCTGGTGGGGGAGAACGGAGGATCTTCCCAGGAGACCCGTCCAGGCTGGAGGTGCGACCGAGGCGGGGAGGGGAGGGGAGGGGAGAGGGGAGGGGCGGGGGGGGGGCGTCGGCGCCTCTCTCCAGCAGTCTTGGAGCTCCCTCTAGTGGTAAGAGCGGAGATGGTGCGTCTGGCTGGGGAGACCGCAGGCTGGAGGTGCTGCTGCCCCCAGCAGGACACATTTGTTACAGGGTAAGGTCAGGACCTGTAGGTGATGGTTTCTAAGTGAGTGGATTTTGAGGGGCGAAGACATCCCAGTACTCCTGCCCCTTGGCTCTGCATGTCCAAATTATCTTCTGAGCTACCTAGGACCATCAGGCCTCCAACCAGGCTCTCTGGACCAACTGTCTCCCACCCCTAGAGGTCCCCTGGAAGCCAGGAAAGTGTCCAGCAGGTTCCCTGTTCCAGCTGTAGAACAAGAGTTGGCCCAAGAGGAGGTGGGAGGTGTGGGTCCAAATTCCTGCAGACTGCCAACCTCCCTCAGCCACCTCGTTTGTAAACTGAGGCTAATAAGAGCCCATGATGGGCTGGCCTGAGGGGCTCTGATGTCAAAACGCACACAGAAAACATTCTGTAGGAGGTGACTGTTTTCGCACCATCCTGGAAGGGAAGTCCAAGTGAGTGCTTTTGACCCGTCCTCGAGGAAGGCATCTTGGAGCCGCTGACGGAGGAAGGGGTCAGGGGATGAGAAAGACTCCACTCCCCCTCCCCGCAACTGTCTGTGGAGAGTAATGCTTACAACTGGGGAGAATAGCAAAGCCATGGAACTCTAGAATCTGATCCAAACCCCTCGTAGTACGGAGACAGGAACTGATGGTCTGAAAGGAAAAGGGGCTTGCCCGGGGTCACACAGAGTAGAATAGGGATAGATTGAGGGGGATGTTTTCTGCTCCTGAAGGGCCTTGGGAAGGAGGGGTGGGTGGGAAGGTTTGGGAGGACTTGGGGAAAGTTGGCATCTTGGATGAGATGGGGCCCAATACTTGGGAAGGGGCACTGGGATTTGAGCTCCAGACTCTCTTGAGCTGGAGTTGGGTCTTCTGAGGGCATAGGTGGAAGGGGCCCCGCTGAAAGGGGGAAGTTAGGGAGACAATTGATGGCAGGGTGTGGTGGGACAGAGGAATGGTCCAGACCCCAGGTCTGATTTCTCCTCTGGCCTGTGGGCAGCTCAAGAGTCCCGCTTGGGCTGGATGGTCTGCACAGAGGATTGCCCGAAGGGGCTAGTAGGTGGTGAAAACCAACACTGGCCATTGGCATCGCGGAAGATGGGGGACAGCTGCTGCTCTGGTTCATCCCCGAAGATCTCCACGTGGCCATCAGCTTCGGTGTCCAAGGGTTCTGCCTTGGTGTCCGGGCTCAGCCAGCCAGTCATGGCCCAGAACAGGCAAATGGCCAGCAGGATCCCAGCCGCCATGCAGAGCGCTGTGCCTGCCAAGCGGCAGGTGCTCAGAGCCTGGTTGTAATCGGCTGCCCGCTGATCCAACACCAGGAATTCCCCCTCTCCGATGCCCTCCAGCTTGGGGGGCACTGCATAGCCAGTGGTCAGGGCTGCCACCCCAAGCAGCAGAAGCAGGGTCCCCGAAGACAGACTGATCTGGAGAGAGGCAGACAGATTGGGAGGTAGTCAGGGTCAGCCTGACTGGTGATCCCAACTGGACTTAAAGGTAATGCCTTGGTCTAACCTTAAGAGATGGGAATCACAGGGAAGTCACAGACACACCTCCCAGGATCGAACTGATGAGGGGCACACACTGTCACGTTCTATTTGGAATCTTGAGGCCCCTAGATCAATGTCCTTTGAAACTCCCACTTAGCAGTAGGTTTTTCCTGTCTACCTTGAGTTTCCCTCCATCATTATTTGGGTCCCATCTCATCTCTCTGTCCTGTCTGCCTTCTATCTCTCAGTCGGGATAACTCCTACACATCCCTCAGATCTCATCTCAAACCCCACCTCCTCAGGGAAGCCTTCCAGGATGCCCCTGGCCTGGGTCAGGTCCCCTGCTTTGCATTTGTACAAACACTGTGCACATTTGTTCTTCGGTGCGCTCACCTTGGTGCACATTCGAACATGTACTTCCGCTACTATGTAAGTGATATCTGCCTGCCCCACTGGAATGAGAGTCTGGAGAGCCATGAGGACAGACACTGTCTGTTTTGGGTCACCAGGTGTCTTCCTAGCATGGTGCTGGTACAGAGCAGTAGCTGAGTGAATGTTTGCAGAATGACTAAATGAACCATAGCTAGGAACTCCTAAAGGACAGGGACCACATCTTAAATTCTCTGTCCTCAAGAGCGTAGCACATTGCCTGGCAACTAGAAGATGCTCAAAGTTTTAAAAGACATACTCACTTTCTCCTGAGAGTCTTCCCTGATCACCCCAGGTACTGAGAACATTTCCTCTCCTGGCACCCTCTGATCATTTGGCCTGAAGTTGTGCATTTACTCTCTATATCTTGGCACTTTGCGTCCCCACTAGAGTGAAGCCCTTTGAAAGCCGAGGGGAAGGATCCTCTGCCTCAGTCTCCTTACAGTATTTGGCAAAGAGCTATGCCCATTGTAGGGTCTCAGCTTACTGTCACCTCCACCCTTTCCCTACACTCTGTGCCCTCACTGATCACTCTTCCTGGCTGTTAGAGACACTGACTGGCAACAGTACCCCAGTATATCATTGTGAAACCATGGTAAGATTTAACTGAGATGAAAAAAAAAAAAATTTAACTGAGATGAACTCCACTTCCTGCCAGTCAGTGTCTACTATCCCCCCTGGCCATAGTAATTAGTTCAGAGACGGGCAAGTGACCCAATCAGAGCCAAAGCAATGTTCGACAGGACTTCTGGAAATGAAATGGAAAGCAGTGTTTCTTTTCTGAAGGAAATACTGGAGGAAATTCTGATGTCCTGTGGTTGGTGTAGAGTGAAACGCTGTGGGTCAGCATGGTAGCAGCTACTTGGGGGAACATGTGCGTAGATCCTGAAGCTAAAGGGGCCACAAGGGTGGGGGCACCATGGGGAGCCTGAAGACTAAGAAATCTTGAACAGCTGGATTGAACTTTGCCTGAAGTTGCTCAACCTCTGGTCTTTTCAATAAAATGAGTGATATTTTCCCTTTCTTATTTAAACCCATTTGAAGTGTTTTTTTTTATTTTTTTTAAAGATTTTATTTTATTTATTTGACAGAGAGAAAGACAGCGAGAGAGGGAACACAAGCAGGGGGAGTGGGAAAGGGAGAAGCGGGCTTCCCACCGAGCAGGGAGCCCAATGCAGGGCTCGATCCCAGGACGCTGGGATCATGACCTGAGCCGAAGGCAGACACTTAACGACTGAGCCACCCAGGTGCCCTGAGGTTTTTTTTTAAGATTTTCTTTTTAGGTAATCTCTATCCCCAGTGTGGGGCTCAAACCTACAACCCCCAGATCAAGAGTCGCACGTTCTACCAACTGAGCCAGCCAGGTGCCCCAAATTTGTATGGTTTTGAATGACTTACCAAGAGTAGCCATTTGCCTTTTTTTTTTTTTTTAAGTAGGCTCCGGGGCCAATGTGGGGCTTGAACTCACAACCATGAGATCAAGAGTCACATGCTCTACCAGCTGAGTCAGCCAGGCCCCCCCAATTGGGTTTTTGTTGCTTGCACCTGCTATACCATCCCTCTTCTTCCTATCCAATGATTCCATCTCCTCCCTGCAGGCACATGAAATCCCAGGAGTTGCTCCTCCTCTGGCCTTACCTTCCAGCACAGTGAGGGCCAGGGTCGGCGGGGACACAGGATGGGAGGCCCCTCAGGGTCATCGCTGAGGGCCGTACCTGCACAGTCTTCATAGAAGAGGTGCAGGTAGGAGCGGACCCCATACCATTTGCCTTCTTCCACATTGGGGCCACGGCTACAGCTGCAGGAACGGTCACAGCCTGGCATTGCAGATCTCTGTGGGGGGAAGCAAGGTGCAGTGGACAGAGGGAGGGATCTGTGAGACCCTCCCAGGCCCCCTGAATCTTTGTGCGTCATCCGCTTTTCCTCCCACTTTAGATAGCCCACGCTCGTAACACAGCCTGGCCTTCTAGATACTGGTCTGTCTTTCCCTACATACACTGTGAATGAGCCAAAGCACACGGGCGCTGAGGCCAGGGCTTAACAATTGTAGATGCCAGTAAATCTGCTTGTTTAATCTGGAGGCCACCCAGTGGCTGGGACTGTGGGTTCTGGGAGCCTGACTGTCTGGATCGGAATCCCAGATCTACCACCTCCTGGCTGTGTGACCTTAGACAAGTGCTTTCACCTCTCCAAAACTTGGGTTCCTTACCTGTAGGGCAGGTCTAATAATCACACCTGCTTCACACAGTTACTGTATCTGAGGCCAAGAAATGGTACCAGTTGTCATTACTATTACCGTAATTTCTTCACTATTATTTTTGTCCTGAACTTTTTGAGCCCCATATCTAGAGTAAGAGGTTCTTATCCCCATCTTTTCTCAAGGTCTCCCCCTCTTTCAGGTATTCTTGGGGGTAACTGTCATGGCTGATACTTGTCTAATGAGGCCGAGCTCCCAAGGTGCAAGGCTCTAAAAAATCCCTCCCCAGGGCTGCCCCTCACAAGGCAATAGCCTCCATGTCCCAAGTCATCTTGACTTCAAAGGAGGTGAAAGCCAGGAGCCCTCTTAGGCTCAAGAGTGTTTAGATTTCTAGGGAAACCTATCTAAGAACCCCTCCTTTTTGAATAATACATTTTTTTTATGGAGGGATACTTGACATATAACATCATATTCGTTTCAGGTGTAGAACATAATGATTCGGTATTTGTAATGATCACCATAATAAGTCTAGTTAACATCTGTCACCGTACCTAGTTACCAACAAATGTCTTTCCTTGTGAGAGAACTTTTAAGATCTACTCTCTTAGCAACGTTCAGATATGCAATACAGTATTATTAACTATAGTCACCATGTGATACATTATATCCTCATGACTTATTTATTTTATAACTGGAGTTTGTACCTTTGACCCCCTTCACACATTTTGCCCTGCCTCTGGCAACCACTAATCTTAAAAATCTCTCTTTTCACAGACGGAGACACTGAGGACCTGGTAATGGAAAGTACTTGTGTATCTACACAAGGATAGGACTAAAACTAAAGTAGGGGATGAGGGAAAGGGTGGGTGTGGGGAGGGGGGGCGTTTGTGCTGGGGAAGGACTGGGCTCCTGCATCAGCACCCCTGAGCAGCTTCAAACAAAATAAAGCAATGAGTGGCGCGCCTGGGTGGCTCAGTCAGTTGAGCTTCCCACTCTTGATTTCAGCTCAGGTCATGATCTCAGGGTTGTGAGATTGAGCCCCCAAGCGCTCAGCATGCAGAGTCTGCTTGAGATTCTTTCTCTCCCTCTCCCTTTACCCCTCACGGGCTCTCTCTCTCACTAAATACATAAAATCTTTAAAAAAAATGCTTCAGTGCTTACACTACAGGATAAGACAAATTTCTAGACCACCCCCCCCCAATTTCAATCAGATGTGGCTTTCAATTTCCTGCATAGAGAGACTCACCAGCACACACATACCCACACAGCACAGACAGACAGGCATATATACACACACACAAATCAAACAGAGACATACTACAGATTGATGCACATACACACACACCAGAGACACACACCAACACCAATACACAAACATGACAGAGACGTACCCAGACAGGCACTCATATACCACATAGAGACATATTCAGATAAACACACATAGCACAGAGAAACAGACACACAGACACACCACACACAAAGACACTCCACGGAGAAACACACACACACAGAGCCAAAGTGTGTGTTGGGGTGATTCTTTTTTTTTTTTTTTTTTAATTTTTAACTTTTTTTTTTTTTTTTTTTAATTCATGAGAGATAGAGAGGCAGAGGCAGAGGGAGAAGCAGGCTCCCCGCGGAGCAGGGAGCCCGATGTGGGACTCGATCCCAGGACTCTGGGATCATGACCTGAGCTGAAGGCAGACGCTTAACCGACTGAGCCACCCAGGCGTCCCTGTTGGGGTGATTCTTGGAGGCCCCACGGATCCACACAAGCGCCTGAAGTGCACAACCCTCACCCACAACTCAGGAAAAAAGAGAAGAAAAGGAAAAGACCAACATATATATATGTTTTGGACAGAGAATGGAAAAAGGCAGAGACCAGAAACGAAAGAGAAGGAGGGAGCCGAGTGGTCCTGCGAGAGAGCAGGGATCTCCCCGGGAGGCGGGTGGGCGGGGCTCCGAGGGGGTGTGGCCAGTGCGGGAACCGCCCCCGGCCGGGGCGCTTCAGAGGCCCGGGTGGGGAGAAGGAGTGGGGGCCCGGAGGCAGTCAGAGTCAAAGCAGCAACTATTAATTAAAGAGCCTAGGGGAGGGGGCAGGGAAGAGAGGCTCAGGAATTGCTGGTCTGGGTGAGCTCCTTCCCTGCAACTCACTGTCCCTCTCCCCCAAATATACCTAATCGCTCGATCTTGCTGGCACTGGAGAAGGAAGGTGACCTTGACGCCGCCTCCCCCTCGGCCTGGCCCCTCCTCCTCCCGTGTTAAGGTTGCAGGAAGGCGGTCTGGCGGTCAGGGGGAGGGAGAGAGAGGATGCTCCGGACCCGGCGCGGGTACCCGGGACGTGGGTTGCCATAGGAACCGCTGGGGAGGTGTCCCTAGACTGGGGGGGGGGGGCGGGGGGGAGGGAGGAGCTCAGTGTGAAAGGAGCGGGTAGAGGAGGGGACTACAGGGTCCGAGGGGGGAGACTGCGGCGGGAGGAGTACGCGAAGGTGACAGGCACGAGGGCCTGAAGATGGATGGGAATCTCTTGCCTGCACGGCCTCACTCAGTTCTCCTTCCCAGACCCCCAGACCCGCCCACTCCAGTGTCCGGCGCTGCCGGGGCTGGGAGAAGGGGCACCCTCTTGGGGGGCGAGGCCAGCGAAATCGGGCCAATTCCTCCCACTCTCCACCGCACCACTGTTTCTGACCGGACCACCGGTTCCCTGGTCGAGATTAACCTCATCCTTTCCCCCAGGGGGAAACTGAGGCACGGAAGGATGGGAATAGGTTTTTAGTAAAGAGATGGATAGGGGTCTTGTTTTCTGAAGCCTCTGCCCATCCTCTCAGCACTGAGACCGGGCTGGTGAGATCTCTGCCCCCCGCCACTTCTCTGGGACCTCACCTCCCGAATCCCGAGGCACACCAAGGCTTGGGCGCCGCTGTCCCGTCCGAGGCTGGACGTGGCCGCGCTGGGGATGCGGGCTGAGGTGGGGTTCCCCGACACCCGGGAGAAGGCGGGGTGGGGGTCGGGGCGCGCGTGGAGCAGGGCTGAGCTCACCTCTCTGCCTGCTGTCTCCGCCGAGCGGGAGCCAGAGCGAGAGCCGAGCAGAAGCTGGTTCTGTCGGCGCCTGCGCCGCAGTCGGGGGCGGGGGTGATACGGGTCTGGGAGGGGGGCACCCGCCCGCCCCAAGGGCTGGCTCTGCAGATTGCGGACCCCTGCAGGATGGAGAGCCCCTGTCTCCTTCCGGAGTTCTTTTCTCTCTCTGAGACCCCGGGCCGCTCGCTGAAACCCCATCGCCTCCCCAGAACTCACCCCCTCCTGCAGTCCCCCAAACTCCTGATCCGACTCTCCATCACTCCCTCAACCCCCCACCCCTCTGACTGAAGACACTTGCCTTCACTGAGCCGTCATTTCCTCATTGTATCCTCAACCTCCTCTCCAGGTCCCCATTCCCTTCATGGAGCCCCTAACCATAAGTATACAAATGCTCATCTTGCTGAGCCCCACCTTCTCCACAGACTCCAGTCTCTCTCTCTCTCTCTCTCAGCCCTCACCCATGGCTGGGACCCTCTCTCAGGAGCCCCCTACTTCTTTTTTTTTTTTTTAAGATTTTATTTATTTATTTGAGAGAGAGAGAGAGCACATGAGAGGGGGGAGGGTCAGAGGGAGAAGCAGACTCCCTGCCGAGCAGGGAGCCCCATGCGGGACTCGATCCCAGGACTCCAGGATCATGACCTGAGCCGAAGGCAGTCGCTTAACCAACTGAGCCACCCAGGCGCCCCAGGAGCCCCCTACTTCTTACTGAGGCCCTCACCTCTCACTGAGTCCCTCATCCTCTCTACATTCTCTTTCCCTCTTTGAGCCCCTGACCCTTGCTAAGGATCAGCCCCTTTTATCTTGAGAAGGGAGCTGAGGCTGGGGGGGAAGGGGTTGGGAGAGAAACTTCCTTCCTCCCTGGAAGGAGCATATGAGATAGCCTCCCTTGTTCTCTCTCCCAACATACCTCCAGTTCTGCCCTGGGCAGTGTGTGCCCGTGACCCATCTCTCTGGAGAACCAGCCATTGCCAGACATCTGTGTCTATTTCATTCCTTGTCATGTGCCCACAGCCTTGGTTTTGTCTTACACTTGTTTTGTTGTGTGGTCTTAGGAAAGTCACTGCACTGCCCTGAGCTTCATCAAACACCATTGCACAAACATGCCTTCATGCCTTGAGCATTCATCCTGTCTCTCCATGTGCTGGGGGCTGGGGATACAGAGATGCATCAACTACAAGATGAGGCCAGATCTTTTTCATTCACTATTGTATCCCAGAGCGTCAGGTAGTGCTCGGCATTGACTGGGCAGCTCAATCAATATTTACTGAACATAGACTAGTGACAATTACAAATATATGACGTTTATTATGTGCAAAGGGCTTGTCAAGTGCTAGTTAGTGTGTACTACGTAACTCATTCAACTGTGTGTGAGAGAGACAGAGACAGACAGACAGACAGAGACAGAGAGAGGAAGTCCTGTAGCCCAAAACTAAAGGCCTCTGAGTGGTGACAGGAGATCAAGCTGGAGAGGCAAGCATACGTCAGACCTTTTAGGGCCTCATAAGCCAAGGTAAAGAGTTTGCAGTTCAACCCGAGTTGTGGGGACCCATGG